CCAGGCGCCGCGCACAGAGCAGAGCGGTTTATTGGGTAGAGAGAGAGCAACTCCAGAGGCAGCAAGTCAGTGCGTGTAAAAAATAAATAGTAACTGATTTCACAGGAGCGCGAGATCGCGGTCTGCGAGAGGCCAGGTTCCTGAAGGCGCAGAGGTGGCTCTTCCGTTGCTCCGAGGTCTCAGCGGGATGCCAGGAAACGTGGGTGCCTCGAGCGGGGCTCTGGAGACAGGGCTGGTCTGGACCATCGCCCTCAGGACGGCTTTCCAGCTCAGCCTTTGAGAGATGACATTCCAGCACGCATAATTTCGTCCACCAGGAGAATGTTGCTGGCTATGACAGTGCTGAAGGAAACAGAGGGAGAGGCTGCGCTGACCCACAGGTGCCAACACCTGACGCAAACGCACACTCCGTCCCCGGTGTGTTCCTGCACCCCTCTGGACAGGGCGTGGGTGTGGAAAAGGTGACCGGAGTCTGACACCAAATTGCGTCATTCTCCCTGTCACCCAAAACTAATTTCTCCCTGGGCTGCAAATCCTTCTGCACTTGGTTCCTGCTGGCAGCTCTTGGGGTTCAAGTGAACAGCCCCGGCTCCCAAGCACATGCACCCCTGCTTTAGACAGACTTCCGATTTGTTCGGAAAACCTTGAAATCCAAGCACCAAAGCCTGGAGATGAGACTCCACTAAGAAAGTTTCAAAAATCTTCCAGACCAGCACTTTCTATGTGTACCCCAAAGTACTCTCACATTCAATTGCACTTAGCGGTCTAACCGGTTTGTGTGTAACCACAAACTGAACATGGTCGGGCACCATGCTATGCATGTTTAAGCAGGAACGCGCCCCACAGCCGCCCGCCTTCTCCAGCCAGTCCGTATTCAGTGCCTGCTCATCACAGAGCATTACCTTGAATGAAGCAACTGCTTTTTAACATTGTAATTGTCCCACACTCCAGCCGCTGCTGCCAGCATCGGTTCCCCTGGAAAACGACAAGAATTGTTGCTCAAGGCCACGACGGGGCTACACTCTGTCCGTGAGCACGCTCGAAGGAACAACCAGCCTGTAACACAGGCCCACCATGTGCTCACAGCACACTGCTTTTAGTTCAGGGCTCCTTTCAGTTCCTACAAACTGGTCCGAATTTTTACAGAACACTAAATGGCCAGAAGAGCCTGCGCATTTCAATGTCAAGTGTTGCAAAAGGGTTTAGATCGCAGGAAACAAGGCTAAGTCGTGCAGACAGAGCTTCAGAACTGCACTGGATCAGACCAAAGCTCTTGCTAATCCAGCATTCAGTTTGCTCGTTAGCCACCCACCCATTAGCTCTTCCGGAAGCACGCAAGGAGGACTGGACTGCCACAGCCTTAGTTCCCTCACAGCTGGCAGTCAGGCCAGCTTCCAATACTGGAGGAGCCGGCAACCCGCTAATGCAGACCCCCCTCCGAGATGCAGAACACGGCTGTGGCCTGCTCGTGACTGATAGGGTCGCCAGGAGAGAGTCTGCCAGGGTCCTCAGCTTTCTGACAGCTCCGGAAATGACCTCATCCTTCCAAGCTTGATCAAGGACAGCCCAGGCAGATCAGAGTTCACCTCAAGGTAACGGAGCTCACGTCAACCAACCCTGGGCACCCCAGGACTGGAGCTCGTGGCAGAGGCAACAGGCCAGCCAAAGAGGCAGGTTGCAATTCTATGCCTCTCCAGCACACGGCTGTAAGGCTGTTTCCCCTGCATCTGGGGCTGCCGTGGGGATCCCTCACACTCATTCCATTGCATGTGAACTCCACTCTTACCAGAGTTTAAATCAACGCCAACCAGTTGTCCTGACTCAGCATATTCAGCCTGAACCTTCACCAGCGTTTCTTGAGAATCATAGCCAGAGTTCTGAGCGAGGACCTGGGGGAATCAGAGAATACACAAAACCTGGAACAACTTCTCCACGCTCAGGGCGTGGCTTGCTTTATCTTTAATCGTAACCGATTCCCCACTGTGTATTTCACATGTGACTTGACATCAAGCTGCAGCTCTCCTCCTCCTCCACCCGGCAGCTGGTAAGTAGACCGACTCTTGGCCAAGTGGTTGCGTACCTTGGGAATGATCAGCAAAGCATCGGCAAAAGCCTGAACTCCCAGCTGGGCTCTGCCTTTTATACTGGGCTTATGCTTCACGAGGGCATCGGCGATGGCCACTTCTAGGGCTCCAGCCCCTGGAACCACACAGCCTGCAAAAAACAGCATGCATTAGTAGCCCCCAGCTGGGATCGCACACACAAGCACAAGCGGCAAGACTTAGCGCTCCTCAAACATGGTCCGGACATGAGCAAGTTTCTTTCTTGGGGTCAAGTATCAACTGGATTTCTTGTCAGTTGACTGTACTGCCTTTAGGTACTGAATATGACTATTCAGATGGGCTCTGTAGTCATTTGTGTTTAAAGCTGGTTTAATGCCTTCTGCAGATTGTCAAAACAGCCTCAGGCCAAGAAGCAGCAGATGCCCGGCAGCGTTTAAATGTGCCTTTTAGGTCAAATGTTCTGGTTTGGTCTTGCTGCTGTAGCTTCATGGGCTTCCATCCCCTTTCCTTGGCTTCATACCCCAAGGCAGCATACAGAATCCTCTCCATTTTATCCTCAAAACCACTACTTTATGCGGTAGGTTAGGCAGAGAATCCAGATTGGCCCGAAATCACTCAGTACACGGAGAGGGAAGCAGAAGTTCCAGCGAGTTTTTTTCTTTAGAATATATTCAGTAACCCCTGGCTGTTGAGGTTCCTAACTTTAATGGAGATGCTTCACTGTGCCTCCCCAATGACATGTATAGTATGTCATCTGCTTATGTAAACATATCTCTACTGTGGCTTAACTCTTTTGGTAGATTCAACAGTTTGTTGAATAATAGAATTATTACATAGTACCAAGAACAGAATATCTGAGGACTGGACCGGCTTCTCTGCACCTTTTCTACCTGTCAGTCATACTCCTGGTTGTTCTGGCAGCTGCTTCCAGTTTGAGTATTTCTTCCAAGACCTGCCACAGCCCAACGGCTGAGAGCTAAGTAGCAGCTGGGATATCTCAGAGAGGAACCTTGCACTTGTCTTGGCCTCTCTGTGCTAACGCCTGGCCATCTCACAGTACTGTAAAATTCAGGGTAAGCACCTTTGCTAGCAGGGAGTCTAAGCACTGCCAGAAAATAAAAGCAGGCCTTGGTTCTTCGGGGGCAACCTGACACAGCTGAGCAGGACCATCCATGCCTAGGGATGAGAGAGGGGCAGCTTCAGGGTGAGGCCTCAGTCCTAGGAAGTACAAGCAGCGTGACCAGAAAGCACCAGAAAAGCAGCACCACAGCCTAACGAATTCCTGGGGTGGGTAGTGAGGTCCCAGTTGCTCCATGTGAAAGCTGAGCCAGCACCAGTCAGGGCCAGACCTCACTGAGCGGCACCACAGCGCACTCTTTGTGACCTAAGTTGGTCTGTTACACCTGAACGTTTTCTAACTTAATATCAACTTTCCAATCTTTAGAAATGTTTAAATTTGGCATTTTTCAAATTTTAAATCTTTATAAAACTTGATAAATTCATGGTGCTATCGCTTCATTTTGTCCTTTGTTCCTTTGAATTGTGTTGTTTCAGCAGGCATTATACTCAGTGTCTAATGCTGATTGTTGAGTTATTTCAATTTTAGGGACGATGCAATAAATGACAGACAAGCCACACTCTTGTTTTTGTGCAAACGGAGCCGTGTGTTTCCATTGTGTGGTTCCTTGTACTCTCCCCCACCTCTGCATTGCCCTCTGGCTCGGTGCACTTGCCACAGAAGAACTTCCAGGAGGTCAGAAAGGAATCCAGAGTTACTGAAAGGCAGCAGCAGGAAAGCCAAAAGCAAACTCTTCCCTTTTAATCTGCTCTGTGCTGGCTGCACCAGGCCTACTGAAATGCTACAGGGTCCTTCTGTCCCAGGCTCACCATCCTCAATGGCGTTTTTGACAGCACGGAGTCCATCTCTGACTGCATCCTTGATCTGTGTCAGTGTGTGCTTATTTGGACCTTTGATCAACAGAGTCACGGAACGAGGATTGTCACACTTTTCAATGAAAGTGTACTTCTCTTCACCCTGTGCAAAGAGGACAAGCAAGGCGTTAACAGGGATGCTGAACGCATAGCTCCGTTACTTGATTTTCTTCTAGGTTGAGGCTGGATCCTTGCTGAGGGGCTTTATCACTGTGCTAAGTGATTTGATTAGCTTTTCCCTTGAAACCTGAAGACTTATTCCTTTCAAAAGAAGAAAAAAGTGAAATAATAAATAGAAATGGAGGCAGTGTGCTGATCACACTGACTGTACAAATGTACTCTCAAGACAAATGCACTCTCAAGTTCCTTAGCAACACAGAAAGAGTCCAAGATGGAAGTCTATGCAACAATCCAAATGCAATTTTCAATAGCTTTCAACACCACTAGCAAAGCATAGCATATAGAAATATAATCGTCATCACGCAGACACTTGCATTCACAGCCAAGCTCAGCTTTTAACACTCGCCACACAAGCCAAACTGCAATGAGGATGGGAAATGTGTTGTTGACACAAACCAGTGTGTATTCATAGACAAGGCCTGCGTGCCCCAGACAGTCAACAGAAAGGTCATCCACGGAGTTCATTGCGATGCCTCCACACGCAAGGGTCAACCTGGAAGAGAAGGAAAGAGCCTGCGTTTTGGGGCAGCTCTAAATCACAAGTGACTGGTACCTTGAAAACGGAGATGTACACCGCGTGTTGCATTGGCACGCTACCCCACGGCCCACGGGCTCTCTGGGCAGCTCTATCTGCTATTAGCCATGCTCACAAGAAACACACAGATCGGGTGCAAGTATCTTCCCACGCTGGACACATTTCAACTCCGCTCAGTGGTACACAGCACTGTGATCCTAAATCTGTTTGCTCTGGAGCAATCGCCCAAGAGTTTCTGCCCTTCCGAGCTCAGCTCCAGAGAAGTCTACAATCCCGCCCCCTTTCCTTTTTCCCATAGAAAGCTGCTGTACTAGTTGCAAGTGGACAGGAACCCGAGGCGGGGGAGAGGAGAGTCAGCTCAACAGCAGCCAGCTGGGAGCAGGGAGCTGCACCACGCTGTGTCGGGCTGCCCATTTCCGCCCTGCTGTGCTGTGGTAGAGGGGAGATGCTGGGGGGGTGGGGGCTGTGCTGTGTCTTCTCTGCCAATTTGTGCTGGTAGTTATGGGGGATGGAGCAGGGGGTTAGAGTTGTATTTCATTATTTAACATGTATTATATCACTGAATTAAGTAACACTTGATTTTGTATTGCTCTGCTAATATTATGTTTTAACTTGTATTGGCTTTAATTATGCTATTGTATTTATACCGATTTTGTATTTTTGCCTATTCTAAATGTTTTGATCGTGTTATTGTATTTCTACTGATTTTGCATCTTGCCTTGTGGTAAGCCACCCAGAGAACCCTAAGGGCTACTGGGCAGCATGCAAATGTAACAAATAAATTAATCAAATCAGAGATATTTCTGAGCAGCAGAAACTGACCTCTCCATGTTCCTTCGTTTGGCTCTACGCAAAGCAACAATCCCTTCCTTTGCAAAAGCATCCAAGGAGAAAGGGTCAATCCCCTGGAAAGAGAAAGACCAGGAGAACTGGATCAATTTTATAAGCTTTATTCTGAAATACCTGGTGAGAGTTATGAATCAAAAAAGGCTGCTTCACAGCAACACCGAACTGTCCCAAATCTACTCCCAGTCTCACCTTTTGATTGACCACAATGAAACCTTTATTAGAATCTGCAACAACAGACTTTTTCAAGTCAATGATCTTCTTCACTCGATCTTCAATGAACTTCCTTTCTGCCTTGACCAGTTTCTCTCTTTCTTCTGCACTCTTATAAAAGAAACCAGAATTCACCTCTCTGGAAACAGAAAATGGACCACATCAGCTGGATGCTGCAGGTGCTGAAACCATACAAAAGCATACAAGTGCAGGTGGGGGGACTTGGGCCCAGGTTGTGGCGGGAGGCTGGGGGCACTTGGGGGGAACCACAAACCTCTGACAGGATGCCCCATGAATTAGGGGACAGGCTCTCAAAGTCTAGGCTAGAGCGGTGAGCTCCACTGCATACGTACGTTTTCTCATACTCTAGTGAGACATTGCAAGTGAGGATGTAAGCATCTTCGAGTCTCTTCTTCATGTCAGGGTGACGAGCACCATGGTCCAGGACAAGTCCTCTGATCAGCCTGTTGAGAAGCCACTGCAAGTAACCGCTCACGCTCTCACCGCAAGCCCCCGTTTTGCTCCCACACGCCAGCACACCCGCCTCGCAAGCCGACTCCCGAGAGAGGGGCAGGGGCTTGCCTTTGTATCTGCCTCGGATGTGGCCATGCTGCCTCACATAGAGCACACCGGTAGGAACATCCCAGGCAGACGCGATCTTCTCGCATGGTGTCTGACTCCATTAGCCACTGCCAACGCTAATGCAGAATTCACCCATGCCCGCAGCCCACGCATCTCAGTCCCTTGCCAGTTCAGGGTACCGAACAGAGCCCTCGAACGGGAGCCTTCCCCAGCCTGGCCCCATCCGACGTCCTGGACTGCCAACTCCCACGTGTCCATGACCATCAGCCCTCTGCCTGGGCATTCTGGGAGCTGCGGTGGGAGGGCAGGCGTCTGAGGAAGGGTGCCCAGGAGACCAGCAGAACAGCTGCACGTGAACGAGTGCTGCTGACCGCCCAGGCGGCCTCCACCTTTGGCACAGGCACAGACTGTCTCCCTCCCCTCAGCAGGACAAAATGTGCCACGACAGGCTACGGGGGTTCTGTGGTGGCACTAGAACGGAACACCGTGGGCAGACCGAGTGCAGCATCTGTGGGCCTCGTGTGGTACCTACGTGGTGTCCGTTTCAGATTTGTGCTTCATTTCCATTATTTCCACCATGTGGAGGTCGATTGGCTCGTCCGCCTTCCGAATGGCGAGAATGGAGTCCACCACCGCCTGGAGAGAGGAGAGGACAGACCCATGAAAGGCCCCTTCCAAGATCCCCAGGACTCACCACCTGCTCGACCCTCCTCAGTGAAGCAGGAGAGCTGCACCCCATACGCCAAGGAAGCGAAAAACAAGAAGCCACACAGTCTCACCTCCGTTAAGATATCCGCAAGCTCGGAATGGAGTTTTGTACGCAGGGAGGTTCTGGCAACATCCAGAAGGGTCTCTCTGTCCATTCCCTTGGTTACTTTGACTTGCTCCAAGACCTGAAGGGCCTTCTCCTTTGCAGCTTCGAACCCTTCTGTAACCAGTCGAGGGTGCAATCCCTGGTGCCAGGCAGTTATGAATGACAGAGCACATGAGCATGAGCATCTATTTAGCTAAGAGAAGCAGCAGCATCCTAAAACATGAGTGGAGCTGATCTTCCATTACGTAACTATGGCATTAAATTTGCAAAAATTGTCCTGTCCTTTTGAATACATGTAAAAGGAAAGATGGTCCTTCCAATGCAGAGGGTAAAGCACAGGTTATTCTAGCACAGAGTTATGCCAAGGGAGCTGCAGAGCTCACTTGGGTGTTCACTGTGCACAAGATCTAAGAAGCTTTTGTACTCCACAACAGATTCCACCACAAGGAGGGAGAAGCATCACACACTCTGAAGGAATGAAAGCACAGGGGCAGAAAGGGGAAGCTCAGTCCTTGCCAAAAGGCACATTCTGCTTTCAGAGACTGCCACCGGCCCATCGAATATACCATTATCGGTGTAACTTCAAGAGCATCACTACTTCCATTTAGCTTACTTTAGTGTTACATTCAGAAAGCAAAGGGCAGCCAAACCCATCCAGGGAACGCTTGCCTGTCGCCTGGAAGGACTGCACACACAGTCCACGCATACCTCGGAAATGTAGAGATCTGCTTGTTTGAGCAGCTCGCCGATGATGAGCACGTTGGAAGTGGTCCCATCCCCAGTGATGTCATCCTGTGCCGTTGCCACTTTGGCTATCAGCGAGGCCGTTGGGTGCTGGATTTGCTGGAAACACACGGGAAGCCAAGAAAAGATGCCCAAACGCTATTTCTAGGGACTGCAGTGCTCCATTGCTTAGGTTTCAGAGGTTTAAGCTTCACAGGTTTGTTAGGTTTTAGGTAGGCTTATTGTTAGGTTTCAAATGAAGTTTTATGTTCATTTCATATCTGTTTTTATTTTTATATATTTTATGTGTTTTTATCTTTTTAATGTAAGCCACCTTGAGGCAACAGTAATAGGCAGCACATAAATGAAAGTATAAATAGAATAAATAAAGGGCTTGAGAAGACAATCAACAAAGCAAATCAGGACTGGACAATTCTGTATTTCTGATTATGCTTAGAGCCAAAGCTAACCAGAGATTGACCCAGCCACTCCCAAGTGCATGCTACTTTGTAAGGCAAACTGGTACAGAGCTTGGGTAATTTTGAAAAATAAGAAAAGGGCACAATCTGCATTTCATGTCCAAAAGTGTAACAGGAAATGAAGATTAGCCTTGCCATGACCAGACCCTTTTACTAACAGCAAAGGCCGGATCTAACACAGCTCGCTTCTCTATCCCTCAGAAATAGCCAAAGTCCGAGGGTAGGCGACTTGGTGACTTGGGCACGACGTCCATAGCTCATGATCAGGCCAGGTACAACTCTCTGGGCGGCTGCAGGACAAAATGCCTGGTACAGCTCTCTGGGGGGTTGCAGTACAAAATGTCTGGAAGGCTATCCCTGAACTAAGACACATTACCTGTTTAACATCATTTGTAGCCTTACTAGCTATACATTCCCAGTAGGCAGTCAGTACTCAACACAGACCTGATTCCAGACACCCCAAGAAACTCGCAAATGATGTGATCTTCACATTTTGGTTGACACCTTCCATGGGAGGAACTGACTCACCATCTCATGCAGCAAGACATTGCCATCTTTTGTAAGCTTGATATCTCCAGCGCCAGATACAAGCCTGTGGAAGAAGACAGCAGAACTATTAGTCCCTGGCCTCACCTCCCCCGGGCAAGTGGCAGATTCATGCCAAGCCGCCCCTGCAGCCGAACATACTGATGGCACGGCCTGCCCCAGCCAGTGCCAGAGCACATAGGAAGCGTAGAAGGGAAATACTCCACCCAGCCCACCATCACTTCCAAGCAAGGAGAGCGCTTCCTGCAGTGCACGAGTCTCAACACTAAAGCTACAGCTTGGGAAGAGCAAGAAACACCTTTGGTAACAGATGCCAGTAGTTCCAGGTGCTGCAGCAAGTACAGAACTGGCTCTCCAAAGGGATCGTTTGCAATTGTGATGGCCCAGGTGAAAACTGAACTGGCATTCACAGCTCAGGCTCAGTACCAGCCAACAGTATCCAACCCAATGGCAGTTTGGTGAGGAGTGCATTGTGAGTGTAGAACTCCCCTCTTCCACAAGCATTCTGGGATACAATGGCTGTGCTAAGTAAAGCAGCCCCCCCAACCTGGAATCTGGAGTTGGAGCACAACTCCCAGAACTCCCATCCAGCAGGATCATTGACTGGGAATTCTGGGTGTTGCAGTCCAAATGCTTCTGGGAGGTACAAGGTTGGGGAAGCCTGGAGTACAGCACTTAAGAGAGCTTCAGGCAACCAAGGACCCATGTTGCACGCACAACAGCCTGTGAGTGAGCCTGCAAGACCCCTGAAAGCAGGATCCTGAACCTGAATCTCTCCAATCCAAGTCCAGAATGCCAGTTGCTACTGAGTTAAAAACATTAAGAGAAAGGGAGTTTTGTGGCACTTTAAAAAATTAAGGGCACAATTCTATGCATGTTCAGGGAAGAAAAGTCCTATGGTTTCCAGCAGGCCCTAGCTATCCAAGTTAACCAGGGCATTCAAGGAGTTGTAGGTCTCTTTTTCTGTTATGTGACAGATTGCACCTCAGCAAAACTCGTGCTTTCAAAATGAAAGTCCCATCAAGTTCATCCCAAGCTCCTGGCAAAATAAGAAGGGCTACTACATATATATGTGTGCACAAAGACATTTTATATCAATGCTTTACTCCGAAGATAATTAACTAGCACCCTGCAGACACTTTGAACTTGAAAGTTCCATCAGGATCTCCAACAGGCAGGAACAACGCAATCCAAAGCACCTGGAAAGCAGCCGCTTTTCTTTCCACTAACTTGTGCACGTTTTAACTAAGTAATTGGGACAGCTGCATATTGTGCCTCCGTTCACCCATCTCTATTTTGCTACCCCTTCTCCAACGCCCAGCATCCCCCACAAACTAGCAGCTCTAGTCCTTCAGATAGATTAGACTACATTTCCCAGTTTGCCCCGCGCCGGCCAGCACGCTGGGAGGTGTAGTCCAAAGCACCTGGAGAGCCAGAAATCGAAGTTGCACGCGCTGAAACGATGCCATCATGGGCCCCGGGCTCTGCCCCGCGCATGCGCCCCACTTCCACTCGCGAGGACCACGCTCGGTGGGCGTGCCCTGCCGTGGCAACGCCCCGCCTGCCCTCCCTTCCCCCACCCCGCTCGCAGCCTCACATCTTCATGGTTCCTTTGGGGCCGAGGTTGGTCCTGAGCACGTCCTGCAGGCCCCGCGCCGCGCTGATGTTGACCGCCAGGGCCGCCTGGGCCCGCGCCACCTCGGCCTTGGGGTTGAGCGCCTTCACCGCCATCTCGGCCGCAGGAGACGCGAAGCCACGAGCCGGAGCCGGAGCCCTCGCCGGAGAGGAAGAGGGAGGAGCGTCTGCGCGCGCAGGCGCAGGCGCTTGGCTCTGACGTCACGGCTACGTACCTTCTGGAAGGCTCCTCCGCCCGCGCGGGCGCCATAGGCCCGCCCAAGGCCCGCCCCCGGGTCCCATAGGTCCGCCCTGGCGTCGATCACGACAGCGGCCCGGGCGGCGGTTGGGACCGTTTGGCGGCAAAATGCGGGCCTGGTGCGGCCTAGTCGGCGGCTGAGGCGGGCAGGCGCTCGAGTTTTTCCCCTCTGCTCTTGGAGCAGCTCGAGAAGAGGCCTCACGCCACGAAAGCTCGCTCTGCAGCAACGCTCCTTAAGGTGTCACAAGCGTTCTCATGTATAATGACTCGGGGGAAAAACAGAAAATAAATATTAGCAATAAAAATAAGTATTAGCATTACATATATTTAGGTTTTATTTGTATGTGCTGTGTGTGTGGGACACACCCATATAGGCTGTATATTCATTACATTTCTAGCCCGAGTTGTAACTACTTCGTATCTATACCACCCCACAGCTGAAGCGCTCTGGGCAGGTGTCCCCGAGATATTTCACATTTGTAAAGGTATTACAGGCTAAGGACACAGTATTGGGAGTAGGTACCATATAAAGAAAAGTAATCATAACAAGACCTACAATACCATGCATGTTTGGACAGAAAACACCTGAGAATCCTATGCGTGTTTATGCAAGAAGAACAAGTAGGCCCGACAGTCCTACATGTGTTAAGGCAGAAAAAAGCTTAAGCTTATGCATGGCTGACTGGGGCAAGCTGCAAACTACATTTTTCTGTCCAAACATGCATGAGATTGTACTCATTCTAAAAAGAGTGTGCCTGTTTGGGAGCTCCTACCTCACACAGTTGTGAGGCTGAAATGAGAAGAGGCTCATTTATGTCACCTTGGGTTCCTTAACACACATAATGCTAATGTATTGTTTAATACTGAATATTTGCTTACAACTAAAAAAACTATAATAGTCTCTATTTGCATAGAATGTACATGTGCCAGTTGTGGGGAAAAATCAGATAAATTCTTATAGAAAATGGTTGCTTATACAACACTCTGTATATGTTCTAAAAGCTTGTATTTGGTTTCAGCCTCTATTTGGAAACACTGTTCATAAGGTTTGTCTGTGGAGAAGGGTACCTGGGGGGTCATTTAATACACTATGGAGCGTTGTAATGAAATCCATTTCCCTGTGAAATCTGAGCATACATTCTTGCAACTGGTAACTCAAAATGTCATGACATGGTATACATAGTAGTTATTCTTATGTATTGTAACCCTGTAAATCCCTTTTGGGGACTTACATAAAATTTCCATTTTCCAGGTATTTGTGGATGGAAATGGTGTAACCTCTTTATGATGTGATGTGCTTCAAGAAAAGGGAAAACAGGTACCCTAAACCATCGTGGTAGCTCAACTTTTAGTGTGTTGAATTTTAAGAGTTTAATTTTTTCTACCTTGATTTTTTTAAAATAGACATTTAAAAGAGTTATCGTATGTTTCTGTCTATAAGACGCCCCCATGTATAGGACGCCCCCCGCTTTTTCTACCCATCTCCAGCAAGCAAGCTGCTGCCACGCATGCATACCGCTTTGCTGCCCCCCTGCGGCGCCTCACCGCCCCCCGCCTGCGCGCACCACTTTGCCGCCCCCCACAGGCACTCGCTTGCCACCCCCATGTGCATGCCAGTCTCCCCCCCAGCTTGCTTGCCTCCCCCCCCCCCCGTATAAGACGCACCTCCATTTTTAAGTAAATGTTAAATTAAG